TCTTATACATACTAGCTTATTTAATGTCTAGGTTAGCTACTATTTTTTTTATAAAATACTTTTTTTAGTTCTTTTTTTATTCCTTATACTACTTTAGCTTTAAGTTTTTAGTATAAAAAATTTTAAAGTTTTTTTTTCTTAAGTAGTAACTACTACTTTGCTTAGCTTACTTATAGACCAAGTATAAGTTATTATAGCATACTAACTAGGTTATATATATGTAGTTATTAAAGTTTTTAATGCTTATTATTTTTTAGTTAATAGTAGAGTTATGTTTTTTAAGCTAGTTATAGTCTAAAATTATGTTATATTTATCTCTTAAAAAAAGCATACTTATAAACTTTTTGTTTTTAGTGTTTTTTTTAAACCTTTTTTATAAGTTTCTAGGTTAATCTATCCTCTACTATACTCTAGTAATAATGTGTTAGTAAAGGGTACTTTAAATAAAGTTTTTTTATTTAATATAAAATGCTATGCTAGTTAATCTAGTTTACATCTATTACTATAAAAGTACATCTGCTATTAGTAAAAGCTACACTAGGTCTTTCTTTAAATGTAAAGGTAGTAGTTAGGCTTTATTTTATGCCTTATTTTACTACTACTAATGCTTTTACATTATAAAATATTTCTTTTTTATTATTTATAAAGTAAGAGTTAATGTTTTATAAGTTATTAAATTATTTTTTTATAAAGCTAATATTTTTTAACATAGTAGTTTATTACTTTACATTTATAGTCTTCTACTAAATAGTAGAAGGTTGTATAATTCTCTATACATGTAGCCTTTTATTAGAAATAGTAGAACCTGTAGTTGCTTTAGTTATTGCAGTCTAGCTAGTCTTTTAACTTATATATAAAGGTAGTCTAGCACGTGTAACAGTTTATAACTTTACATGTTAAAGTAGTGCTTTACTATAGGCATTTCTTTTACTATCTTTTCTAAGTAGGCTACTATCTAGCTTAATGCTTGTTGTTCTAGTGTTTAGTGCAATACTATCGCACACACTAGTACTAGGGGTATAGGCAGTTGTCTAGCCTATAAAGGGTATTTAGGGGCTGCTTTTAGGTCCACTGCAGGTATTCTTTAGTTTGTACTACCTGTACAGGGTGTTCTCGCCACTAGCAAGCATTAATGCTGTAGGAGGCGCTTCTACAGAACACGCACTAGCTGCTATTCTACTATAAAGTAAGGGCTTTTTTAGTAATTACTAGTCCTAGGAGTAGAGTTCTAAGTTACTCTCTTATAAGTTCTAGAACTTTAAAGGTAGCACTTTAGCCTAGCCTACAGAATTTCTAGTTATAAATGTTTATAAAGAATTCTTATCACTTTTTTTTATAATATTATACTTTACTTTAGCTATTTATTATATTATATTAAATGTTATATAGTTATTTTTAATACTCATCTAATAAAGTAATACTACATACTTTTTTAAGTAGTTATATTATTATCTACGCTTTTAGTATAAGTAGTTTTAAAACTGTTTAGAAAACTTTTTAGCTAAAGTGCTAAAAGTTTTATTAAAAAAAAATTTAGTTAATGTTTATAGTATATTTTTAGATTTAAGTTTTTTTTATTTTTTATTTTTTAAAAACTATAAAGTCTTACAACACTTAATTAAGGCTACTAAAGTTTCTAATAGCTACTCTTTAGTATAGTTTAGAGTAGTTTTTTAAAGAGTAATTTTTTTTACATTGCTAGTAAAGTCTATTATTTAATCTTTTTAATATTTTCTTATCTATAAGGCTATATTTAGTAGTATTTTTATTTTCTTTTTTTTAGAAGTCTAGGTAATTTTAGTAAAAATGTTCTACTTTTTTATAGTTTAGGTAGGCCTTGTTTTTAAGCTATTTTTATTACTTTTTAGTAAAAAGCAGCCTATTACATCTAAAAGCTTAGCTTTTCTTTAAAAAGAGGCTTTATATATACTTTATATAACTAAGGTTTATTTGTTTTTTATTATATTAAAAAGCTTTTTTTTTAAGAATAAACTTAGGTTTCTAAAGAGCTTCTTTACACTATTTTTCTTTTTTACACTTTTTATGTCTGTTATTGTAAAGTGTTGCTTTTATAATAAAGTTTTTTTTAATGTTATTAGCTTTTTATTATGTGTAAATTTTTCTTTTATAGTATCTTATAACTTATTATAAAATATTTAGTAAAGAGCTTTTTAATCTGTCTATCTATAGATTACTAGTTATTTCTTAAAGTATACTATATAATGTTATCCAGTTTCTTTTTCTTATTTTAAAGTATTTAGTTTATTAGTAGTAATTTATTATTTATTTATAGTTTTATAGATAGTAATTAAGGCTTTCTTAAAAGTGTTAAGGCTACTAAATATTTCTTTAGTTTTAGAGTTTAGTGCTATGCTGTTTACCTTAAAGTATATCTAGTTATCTGCATATAGCTAGAACTAAATTGCTAGGGGTTCTTCTAAATGTAGCCCTATCTATAATATTATTCCTCTATTAGTCTAGAATGCTCCCCTGTTATTGTAACGGCGCAGGCAAGACAATGGGTCCGAATGCGGTATGAATCCACTCAGAGGCATATGGGAGTGCGTGGGGACTCAGAGACCTGGGAATACCAATGACACCTATAGGCCTTGTACGTAGGGATATCAGAAAACTACCGAGCTAGCTACAGGGGCGAGGTGCGACTAAATACATGAGGGGATAGGGGTAACAGCAGGGGTCGGGGCCAGGTCGAGGTCGGGGCCGATACGAGGGCCTTCCGGAGGTTCCGGGCGACCCGAGATGGAACGAGAATCGTTACAGTTATATTACATGTAGAGATAGCATTAGGTAAAAAAGAGTTAGAAGTTCTTAGGCAATCCTCTAAAAAGCTTTAGAAAGGCTAGTCTTAAAGTCTTTTTAGCCTTAATGCTTGCTTTCTTAGCTAATGCATTCTAAAGATTTGCTAGGTCTACCTGCAACGCGTGTATTTGCAAGTTAGCTGTTGTAGCCGCTATAGGCTAAGTATTTAATTAGGTTATTTTTTAGTTTAGACATTTTACTTCTTTATAAAGGCTAGTTAGTTTACTAATTTTATTACTAATTTATTAAAGTTTCTTAATATTATCCTAGATGCTATTAATCTATTTAGCTAGAACTTCTTTACTAGCAGTTAGAACTTCTGTTAATCCTAACAAGACTATATAGGCTATGTTAGAATTAATATTATATTAAGAAGTTATACTTTTTAGAGGTGTAGTGTTTAATGTTATAATCCTTGCTTCCTAGAAGCACGCAGGTTAATGTTATCCTAGAGAGTAGGGCAGAGTGTAGGGGCTAACGATAGGGTGTACAGTCCTACGTAATGTGTTTGCAGTAATCATACGATAGTCAGATGCGTCGTCACCATGGTCGCATGCGTCGTCACCATGATCGGATGCGTCGTCATCATAGTCGTATGCGTCGTCACCATAATCTGTTGCCAAGACTCACCCACTCATTTTGCATGTATATAGACTCCTACAAAGGACTCCTCTAGCAATAGATAGAATGCAGTTCCTTATGTCTCTAGTGCCTTACATAGCTTCACATAATGGCTAATAGGCTTGTGGAGGTTAGTAGGGCAACTAGATTGTAGTTTGTCTCTTAAACAGCAGTATAGAGGCTAGGTTAAATAGTTCTGTTTAGATAAGATTAAAGGTATATATGTTATAAGATATATAATTAGTATTACAGCTTATTAAAAAGCTAGAATGCTACTTAGTCTATATAAAAAGTAAACTAGACTATAAACTAAATGTTAAACACACTTTTTAAAAGTTTATTTAAGTTAAAACTATATACATGTCTACTAGTGCTAAGAATAAGTTTGCATAAGTTTCTATAAGCTTCTACTACAGTCCTTTAGGCAAGCTTAGTAAGACTTGTCTAAACTTGTCTTAGCGTCTCTAGCTTCTTGTTTATTAGACAACACATTCTTCTATAATCCTAGGCAGCTGCGCTGCCTCTATGTCTTCTAATTGGTCCATAAACAGGCTCTGTTCCAATTCGGCTAGATTGTGGGGCACCATGGGTAGATTTACGTCGGTCCAACCATAGACCGTAACACACCTTTAGTAGGCTTTTAAAAAGATTATACATAAGCTCTATTCTAAGTTTAGTTAATTTAGTAATACAGAGGAAAATAAGATTAATTTTGTATAGCTTTAAAGAAGGGGTAGCAGAGGATACCTAATTCACTCATCTGTACACTCATCTAGTTAATGCTAAGGAGAATTAAGGCTGCACAACTCGCGCATGGCTGGCAGACTTGGTATTAAATATATTTTAATTATTTACTTTAAAAAAAGTATGTATTTCTACATAACATTAAGTGCGCGTGGTTCTTTTTCGCGTCGCGATTTGGTGAGAAAAAAGTGATGCCAAGTGACTTTTAACACGCGACTGTACAATCTGTACTATGTACTGTATCTAGGATATCATTAAATATACAGGATGGCTCACGAACTCGGTACGTTCGTGCTGATCACGTGAACCTTACGGTTCACTTTGTAGGGACCGTAGTACGCCCCGTTGGAAGCCCTGAATCGGTGCGGCCCTAATTGGCGATGATATATAAGATGCGAGGGAAGATGAGATAAGCGCCATAGGCATAACTTACTACCCGACGATTCGCGCATTCCTTGATTCAAAAAAGACAGATCGCGGAAGGATTTTCCGTAAGCTAGAGGAATGTCGATTATTCTGGGATATGTCATGTGGCGTTTGGGGAAGATAAGCCGTACAGGACCTAAATGGGATCCTGACTCTAGAATAGAGTAGTGAACGAGGAGAGTGCGAGATGTCTAATGGAAGGCATTGTTGGGGGTATTCAAGAGTGGACGGCGCGTCGTGAGAGTATAGGAAGGCTTGACGATCAAAGTTGTTGTTGCAATTCGAAAGTCTCCCTCGTTTACCCCCTGTGCTACCAACCTTGTATATATCTTGCATTCCACAATGAGGCACCGATACGTGTAATTGAAACGAAAAAAGGTCTCTTCTTGCCGAATGATAGAGCGACCTTGACACTTGGGCTGCATTTATGAGGCACTTGGTTTCACTCAAGTGATTTAGAGAGAGAGTCAACATACACTATAGTTCCCTTGTCATACATCCCTGAGAATCGCTTCATTGCCAGCTCCTATCTATAGGATGAGTATATGATAACGTTAAGGGCTTCGTATCTGGCAGCCGTCAGTTACTGTCTTCTTCGGCTATATAGATCGTAAGGCGAATCATACCTCATGCATATCGAGTTATTTTGGGTAGTCTTTGATGTGGTAGCTCTTCAACTTAATAAATTGATCGAAGCCGAATTTGCTCAGTGTTTGTCCTTTTCCAGAGTCCTTCCACCCTATCCATGCAAGGTCCTGACAGAGTTAGTATTGAAACAAGCCGCGTGACATTGATGAACTCACTGGACTTGGGTAGTCACAACGGTTTACCTAAGGTTGTTAGCACATTAGTTTGTATTGTGGAAGGAAAGTCTTACAAAAACGGTTCCGGCCTCAACATCCTCCATGAGTTCGTGGCCCTTGTCAATATCCCTAGTCCAGATACTCGCCGTAAGACCAAATTGACTCTCGTTCATAAGCTCGATAGCCTCTGCGTCATTTTTTACTTTCATTACAGGAATGACTGGACCAAAAGTCTCTTCTGTCATGACAGACATTTCATGAGTCACATCAATCAAGAGTGTTGGTGCAACGTAGTTGCCATCTGGAAGCGGGGATTGGAAAGACTCGTTCGCTGGTGTTGCATCTTTGGCACCTTTTCGGAGCGCGTCTTTGATATGTCCGCGAACCGTCTCTGCTGACCGTTTAGAGACCACGGGGCCAACGTGCGTCTTAGTATCAAAAGGATCCCCTAGTTTGTACCCCTTCAGGACTCCTTGGATTGCAGAAACAAATTGGTCGTGGATCTTCTCATCCACGTATACCCTTTCGATGCTGCAACAGCTTTGACCTGAGTTAAAGACTGCACCATCTACGATCTCTTCAGCAGCCCACTGAACATCTACGTCACATCGGACGTAAGCTGGATCCTTGCCACCAAGCTCAAGACATACTCGAATACCTACTCGATCGCTTGCAGCCTTTTGTACAGCAAGACCATTGGCGACTGACCCTGTGAAGCAAACCAGCTGTATTTGTGGGGATCGTATCATTGCCTCAATCTGGGTTAGAGACCCACAATGGAAGACCTGAATAACCCCCTCAGGAAGCCCAGCATCACTAAAAGCCTGCTGAATCTGCTCGCCACTCGTCGGTGTCTGAGGAGAGGGTTTCAGGATGACAGAGTTTCCGGCAAGCAAAGCTGGCACTATCGAATTCACAAGGGTCAGATAAGGATACTGCAGGACAGGTTAGCGTGCGAGAAAGAATTTGTAGTTCGTCACACGAACATTCCACGGAAAAAGAATCAAGACTGGTCCCACTGGAATTTTCTTGATGTAGCGCTTGAAGCCCTTTTCCGCCTCACCTAGCGTATCACTGAGAACTTCTGGGCTAATCTTGAGAAGATATTCGCCGCGCATTACGGCAGTGGCGACTTCTTTTGCACTGTAGGCGATGGGCCGCCCCATCTGCTGCGTGATTTCTTTAGCCAATTCGTCCTGCCGCTCCTTGAGTAACTTCAGCGCCCTCTTGACAATGGATTGCCTCTCTGAGAGGCTCGTGCGGCGATACGACTCGAACGCGCGCGTAGCCGTCGCAGGAATAGACTGGAGATCGGCATCTGTTAGGCTGTTGCGTGTGAGGATTGGCCTGTTGGTGATGGGAGAGATGGTCGTGATGATCTCCACAGACATGATGGTGCGAGTCGAGGCGTGACCTCTAGTTTATATTAATTGAATGGCGAGAGACGAGAGAGGGCACCAATGCTTCAATGCGGTTAATTTTGAGGTTGAAGTTTGTCGACCTTTTGGCCGCCGATTTCCGGTGACGTTATTACACTAATGCCCTGATATGACCTAGCGCGGAGGGTTGGAGCGTAAGGCTCGGGAGTCCGATTTCATGCTTAATTCGAGGGTGCATCACAACTTCACGTGCACCACCTGACTTTGCCATCAATATATCACAAACGTGATCATCACTGCTCTTCATATTGGGCAATGCCTTGTACATGGCTCTGAATTTGGCGCGGCGTGGATTTTGGAGGGGCGACGACACCCCTGTAGGACACTTTGCGCAATTTAGGTAAGCTCCAATGTAAGGATACCCGGCAAGTCACTGACTGATTGCGGTGACAAGTACCTATCTCTCGTGTGCGCACCGCTGCGAATTGAAGATTGGGACCGATAGCAACGCAGAAGTGCAAAAGATTGGAGATCTTCTCGCCCAAGCAGCAGCTGGTGGGTTCCCAAAGACTGGTCCATGGAAGGGCACATGGCTTCAGGCATTTTCGCTCCCCGTGTGTACTTAAAGATCGAGGACACTTGAAGATTTGAGTACCTCGCCAAGCCCGGGAAATTGGAGAGCAATCCAGGAATCATGGTGTCATTCCCTCTTCTCCCGCTCAGTTCGAGGGACAGGAAGGAGTAAAGTGGGCAACACAATATTTACGATAACTAATCGGCCCCTTGGTTCTGAAATACGTTTGTTGCATTGTCTCCGTGGCATTGCAGACACTCAGAAAAGGGTACGGCTACGACCAATCGTGTTGTCCCAACAAATCAGCTAACAAAGGCCACTCCTCTCTGTATCCCATGCCTGATCCTCATTTTTAGGCCAGAATCCTTATGAAGCTATCTGATCTCAGAAGGATCACGAAGGATCCAACATGGATAACACTGAAATGATGCGGTCACATGTTGCAGTGGCAGATGGTAGGTGAGAGACAGTACTTCCCTTTGTCAACAGTTCGGCTACACCCTTCTCTACACAGCCTGTGCATGCCGAATACTAAATGCATCTTGCTGCACAAGTAATATCTTGGGATCAACAACCCGTCTTTGAGTCGGGCCTGGGGAGCCGTAATTGCGACGAATCTTCATTTTCGTTTCCCTTGATTGGATTTTGAACCCACTCAGGATCACGGTACTCCTCAGGAGAACCTTAAGTGCCGATCCGGTCTGATGGAGTCGCGGCGGAATTCTGTCGCGATCGTCCCTGCCGACGAGCAGCGTCGACCTCAATCGAACTCTGTGCAACCACCACAGAGGGCAGGATCCAGTGTTAAGCCTTGGTCTAAGGGCTCGGCTAACGCAACAATCTCCCAAATTCAGCCCATGTCATGATGTCTCATTTCGATTCCAACTCAGATCGGAGCTACATTGTTCAGGTGTTGCGGGCCCACACTTTCCTATTCAATCTCCAGGGCCTTCGCATTAACACAAATACCTTCTCGAAGCAGTCACTGGAGTGCCATTTATCCCTCATGATTGGGCAGTGCCCCCCAATGAGGCGGCGGTCGTTACCGTACCATGTTTGTGGCATTGGTGGCGAGGGCAATATCCGTTTGCTTGACAAAGGATACAGAACCTTTTATCAGGCAATACGGGAAGACTGCGGGATATCAAGTACGGAATTCGTAACTAACTGCTGTTCAGGTTGCATTGAGTGCATAAAAATGCTGCTCGAGGCAAAAGCCAGCCCAGACAGCTCGAAAAATTCCAAAATTACTATTGGTCGATTTTAATGCACTCTTGGACCTCATCCAGTGGCTTCGCTAATCCACGTGCAGTTCACCAACCTTGTTACGTATCGAGGGGCGGTATGCATCCGCTCACACTTTGAGGTAAGTCTTGAGTGGCCCGCCGGATTCGAGAGCGATCCCTGTCCCAGGGTCCCCTCTGTTCATCTGGCTCGACAAATTTGTCCCTCGTGGAGGGTGTAAATCCCTTCTCAGTGGTCCAGAGTCCCTCTGAACGCCTGCCGCCCGGTTCGTCTGCCGCTTTACCGACGAGTTCGAGCGCATCAGCAAAGAAGTAGCTACCACGAGCAAACGACGAACCGTTCTCTGCCATGGGCGCGTGTTGTGAGGCTGCCTGCGTTGGCGGAGAAAAGTACCCGTTCCCGAATCGGCATGGAGCGAAACCTATCTCACCACCCCAGTTTCTCTCGAAAATCTTGCTTCTCGCCCAGCTGACATCCGTGGCGGCCACACCTCAGCAGTCCCACACCTAGACCAAAGTTCGATCGTCCATATCATATTCTCAAGTTATGCTATCACATCTTTCTTCCCCTGTCCATGAAGCCCTCGGAATAGGACCTTCCTCAGGAGATTGGATCGAAGAACTTACCCCGACGACTTAATGAGGACGCGTCCTTGTTATTATGGCAGTTCTGATACTGATCGCCCGGAGGGCCTGCGCCGGCTGGAGCAGCAAGTATTCTCGAACGGTATATGGACGTTCCTGCAGTAAAGCGTGCCAAGCCGTAAAAAACGCGTTGGAGCAAATGAGGTCAGGACCTGGCCGTTGAAATGCGGAGCGATCCGCTGGCTTTACAGAATCGCCGGCCAATCCGGGGTGGCAGGATCATTCCACTCGCTGGCAAACAGTGGCCAGGGCCGAGTCACGATGCAAGCCGAGTCTGATGGCGAGGCCGTATCCTCATTGTCATCAGACAAAGACGTTAGGTTTATTATTATTATGATCGGAGCAGGCAGCGCCGTTAAGCGCAGAGGGGAAGATGGGCTCTTAGCGCAGAGGTCGTCGGCAGCATCTGGCCGCCACTCGCCCAGTCATAGGCCACTGCACAGGCTGGACCAGGCACGCGCTGACATGGCCGTGCCGCAACCTCTCATTTTGGACCTCATATCATAATACAGAGTATTATAGACCAGAGTTTGCGCAACAAGCCCTCTCTCCAGGCCCAGTTTGGCATTCAGACAACATCTTCACTGCAGGTGACGGTCCCAGCGCCTTCATATTGTGGAGGAGCTCCATAACATGCATTACCGAGCCCTGATAATGGACGGCATTATCATGCGCAGGCCTCCAGAGCCTTGACGCAAGCGATTTGTTTCTGGGGTTGCCCCGTCAAATTCGACTGGACCCTGCGAGTTACGACGATGCTCTGGAAGGGTTTTGGAAGGCTCTGAGACCGATTGCATCGGCGCATCGTGAGCATTGATTCATGCTCTCCACGGCTTCTTCTGGTAGAATTCTGGATGAAAAGGCTGATCAGCGCAGGCGGGCAGGGCGCGGGCGCTGGACGGCTAGCGGAATGGATTATTCGCTGGGATGCAGTATGACCGGCAGCTGTGGCGGGCAATGGGCGACCCTGCTTGAGCACGCTCGTACTGGAGGGTACAGCGAACGGCGGCGATGGGCGGAGGCCAGAGGGTCCCGTGCCGTCAGCAGGCGGGTTTGCTGGCGGATGCACAGAGGAGGGTGGTCGACACCAATCACGATGCAGAGTGTTTCCTGATCGCCCAGACCGACGAGGGCGGCGGGCCTCAGGGTGGCATGGTTGTTCGTAGGTACGAAAGGGTACATGTCGAGCCGGCATCGGTACGGGGCCATCCTTAAGAGACCCGCATATAGGGTCGGGATCGCACCGATCAACCAATATCATTTTTTGATTGCGAGCCTAACCCGCGGCGAGCACTTGGGGTGCATCCGTTCAAGCTCGCGGCACCGACGATCCAGCGGCGCAGTGGACTGTGCTCAACGTGGAAGCGTTGCCTGCTGGCAGGGGACCCGGTCGCCTGCGAGGCCTGGGGCACACGGGGGGGGGGGGGGGGGGGGGGGGGGGGGGGGGGGTTGTACTGGGGGTGAATGCTGAGGGGACTAGGGCAACGGGGCCATCTCGTTTGCAGACGCAGCCCATGTGGCCCAGAGAAACCTCAGACGCGCGACGCAGCTAGACCCGGAGATGGGACAGCTTCTCCCATGCCATCCGGTATTGGCCACCCTGCAGCTCCAAGCACTGGCGACCTGTACTATACCCCGCGACCTCCACTAAGGCGGAGAGGGCAGCGGCCGACAGCTATATTGTACGCAGGCACACCGCAGCGAGACAGAGAGGCAGCATCGGCACGACTGACTGACACCGCGACCTGCATACATCTTTTGACGACATCCAGTCCCAGCCCGGCGCTGAGCCTAATCCATTCTTCTCACGCCTCGCAGAACCCGCACCACTCTTCGACGCCGCTGCAGCGTCTGTCAGCGCGTTCAACTCCTCCATCTCTTGACCATATTTTCGCCACTGACGGTTCATTACTGCACGAGAACCTCGTCTTGCTTTCCACTGTCGTCGAGCAGAGGTGCAAGTGTGGCCGAGGCCACGGACGCTAGCAACATGATTTCCACCAGCCTCCACCAGTACTCGCCTGCCTTCAGCCATCTCCCCACACCGAACATGGTCAGCCACGAACAACACCTGGCCGCGCAGCATATGGGCCCGTCGCCGCTCGACACTCTGGCCCATACCTCGCAGTATGCTGCGCTTCAATTCCACCACAACCGCCAGATGTTGCCTAATGCCAAGGGTATCGTTAAGCAACATCGCATACCGTACTCCAACGGGCCCATAGCTGCCGCACCCCGCAACCAGCGCGAGGCAATGCTTCACGAGCGAACAGGACGCGGAGCTGCAACGTCTGGCCCGGTGCGACGCCGCATCTCCAGGGCGTGTGACCAGTGCAATCAATTGAGGACCAAATGTGACGGGAAGGCGCCGTGTGCGCATTGTATGGGTACGTCTCACCAGCCGACTTTGACAGATGTGGCGCCGTCAAAACAAAATAAACTAACTATTGAGCACCAGAGTTTGGTTTGACGTGCGAGTATGTACGTGAACGCAAGAAGCGCGGCAAGGCTTCAAGAAAAGACATCGCCCAGCAGCAGGCCGCGGCGGCAGCAGCAGCAGCCGCAGTCGCTAATGGCACCGCACCTCCATCGGGCGACGGATCTGCTTCTGGTAGCCCTCAGTCACGGAGCAACGGTTTTGCTGAGGAGCAGAAGATGGCCGAGTCTTCACAGAGCGGTGTGGAGCAGTCCGATGCCCAGCGGCCCTTGCCCGATCTGCCTCCCCAGAGCCTTCCAACCCCGGGCCGTTCAGCCAGCATGGCAACGACCCGAGGCATGGAGACTCCAATGTACCAAAATGTCGCTCCAATGGCACGGACGATGAGTATGGGTGCCATTGACCGGATGCCTGAGCCCAATGTTCATCAGATGCCCGTCCCCAACGACACCATAGGACCAATGCAACCTCCTCGAATTCAGACTTCTGGACTACAGATGCACGACCGCTCGATAGTAGCTATTCCTGAGTATGCGTCCATGGAGGACTTCCACCGCAACCTTATGCATCAATCACCACACCCTATGATGCAGAACGGCATGCCCCATCCGATTATCCCTTCAAACGGCATGCCAGAGTATACCGACAGCCCCTATTCCATGATGAGCCCGCAGAGTGCGCAAGCACCACCCAACGCTTTCCGGATGGGTACCGCAGAATCACCAATGCCCGGATTTATTGGAAACTCTCCCGTCGCTGGATCTCCCGGATGGCTTTCTCTCCCTTCGCCATCAACTACTATGTACCCAGGTGCACAGCACATGAATGCTTCTCAACAACTGCGGTATCCGGTTTTGCAGCCAATTGTACCACACCTCACCAACATCATCCCAATTTCATTGGCATGCGATTTGCTGGAATTATATTTCCAATCCTCGTCTTCCGCCTTCATGCAACCAATCTCGCCGTACGTGCTCGGTTACGTCTTCCGGAAACGCTCGTTCTTGCGACAGAGCAATCCACGCTTGTGCAGCCCAGCGCTACTCGCAAGTATGCTTTGGATTGGCGCACAGACAAGCGAGTCACCTTATTTGACCTCACAGCCGTCAGCACGGGGCCAAATTTGCGAAAAGCTTCTCAATTTGACCATAAGCCTCCTAAAGCCGCTCATTCATTCGTCCCCTAGTAGCGAAGCTAGCCCCACATACACCAATCCAGTCATTAATGGCGTCGCCCTCGGTGGCTTTGGCATGCCTGCACAAGAGACGGAAAGAGGTTCGCCTGGTGCTACAGGTGGCTTGGACGACGTTGCAACCTACATGCATCTTGCTATTGTTGTGTCTGCCAGCGAGTACAAAGCCGCGAGGTATGTTAAGAAGCACGCTGCTTGAACCACATTGCTAATTGATTGCGAAGCCTTCGCTGGTGGAATGCTGCCTGGTCTTTGGCAAGGGAATTGAAGCTCGGTAGGGAGGTGCCAAACACACCTCCGCCGGAACATGGTGAAGAAGATGATACCGACGCTCCAGGTGAAGTTGACATGGATCACATGAATGGACCGCATTCGAATGGACAGAATAGTCCCGCAAACCTCACAGAAGAGCAGAGAGAAGAGCGCAGGCGGATTTGGTGGCTCTTGTACACCATGGACCGTCACTTGGCACTGTGCTATAACAGGCCATTGTTCTTTTTGGACAGAGATTGCGATGGCCTTTATCAACCGGTAGATGACTCCCTCTGGCAAGCCGGAGAGTTTTTCGATGGGGACTCCGCTCAATCGTTTTCAGATACAACCTCCCCTTATTTACACCGACGACGAGGTCCAACCTTTGAGTGCACCGGACACTCCATATTCGGATTTTTCCTTCCTCTGATGACTATACTCGGGGAGATAGTCGACTTGAATCACGCCAGAAATCACCCCCGTTTTGGTGTACGCTTCAAGAACGGCTCCGACTGGGACGATCACGCCGCTGAGATTACTCATCAGCTCGAAGCCTACGGCGACAGCCTGCAAGAATTTAAGACACGAGCGGTCAACGAAGCTAATGCAGAATCTCATGATGCAATGCAGCATGAGGTCGGAGGTACTCCCTCCGCCCGATCCGTCAATTCTTCGTCTTCACGCGCCCAGGAATCACTGCTCCTTGCTAAGATTGTAGTTGCGTATGGCACACACCTGATGCATACCCTTCACATTCTTCTCAATGGAAAGTGGGACCCGATTTCCCTGCTAGACGATAATGACCTGTGGATATCATCGCAGTCGTTCATTGACGCGACAGGGCATGCAGTATCAGCCGCGGAGGCTATCAACGAGATCCTGGAGCACGATCCCGATCTCAGTTTCATGCCCTTCTTCTTTGGGATCTATCTTTTGCAGGGGAGCTTCCTCTTGCTCTTGATAGCCGACAAACTCCAGGGCGATGCAAACCCCAACGTGGTCAAGGCGTGCGAGACAATCGTGCGAGCGCATGAAGCTTGTGTTGTCACGCTCAACACAGAGTATCAGGTGAGTGAATTCAGCCTCTGTTTGGAAGTGTTTCATTGCCACACTTATCGAATTTCCCATTATATCCGAGATGAGTGACATCATGCTAACCAAACATGCAGCGAAATTTCCGGAAGGTCATGCGCTCCGCATTATCGCAAGTTCGGGGACGCGGCGGCATGGACGAGTTCGGTGGCGACTATGCTCAGCTCCATCGTCGTCAGGTTCTGTCACTGTACCGATGGACTGGTGACGGCACTGGCCTTGCGCTCTGAATGTAACATCCAGATTACCTTGAATTCTTACTCCTTTCACTTATCTTCTCTCCGATATCGTTATCACGTATCACCATTGTAAAACCGCCTTTCTACTTCTTGCAACAGTGTGCAATTTTCCCCTTTCTCTGCTCTTGGGTAAGGAGCCCATGGGTCTATGCGGCCTCATGGATATGGAAAGGAGGCGGAACAGTCGGATGGCTGGGTTGGGCTGGATGGGTTGGCGGACGGCATTTCTTGGGCTTTGGCGAATATCTGGTTCTCACGTATACTGTTTCGGCGTTCCCCATCCTGCACCAAACAAGCGAATTACTCGGGCTGGCGGCACGGTCTATCGATTATGGTCTTGTTTTCCTTCTCTTTATCACGCGCACACACTCAATCACCTTACTTCTTACATCTGTACCCGCACACTTGCACCCTTACTCTATTATCATTGTTCTACTAGCGAGGCGTCAGTCGGACAAGTGTGCGTCGTATTATCACTAGCCGGGGAAACCGGGCAATCTCTCCAGTTTCCATTATATACCACTCACCACATTTTCTCTCGCGAAGGATTTTCCAGGCATATCACGGAAGCGTGACACCGGAGCAGAACCACCCCAAAAACCTTAGTGGGAAAAAAATAACCACATCAGTCCATTAAACAAAGAAAATAATGTAATATTAGTTAACGTGGCCGACAGAACGATTCTTTAGCGCTCGGCTCGCGGGGTTTCTTAGTGGTCTGGCTGGTTCGCTTTCTTCGTTTCATCAAAGGTTGGTACTATAGCCCTGGCCACGGCGTGTTAATGTTTCAGCTTAACCCTGCCCCAAGCCTTAACGAACCCCATAATTCACCCCAGTGCAAGGCTTTCAACCTTCCTTTTTCTTCTCGCCCAACCAAAGTTGTTCAACCGGCCTCATCAGATCCACAGTATTTGATCGTGATGACTCCAGCAGCTATTCCATCCCACACATGTCACCCATCATACAACCCCTTTTCCCCCTCTCAGACTTTCGGAGCTGTATCACCGTCCTAAGGCTAGTATCGTACCATCTATTCATTCTATAGTCTGTCTGATACCATACAAGACACAGATGCAGAACCAACAAACACAAGTCAGAGTAAGCGCGCGCGAACGGAGTACGGCGCAGCAATTCAGTGGACGTGATGGATGTGTGGATGCCGGTGATGGTGATGTGCAGAAGAAATCTCACCTGCACCGCACCGCACCGCCGCAGAGCCGATGCAGACTCATACCTGGATCCGCTCGGCCATATTGGGAATATATAGCACTTGCGCTCTGTTATTAATGCGAAAACTGGACGGAGATTTTGGTTAGATTAGGAGAAGGTTTGGTGGAAGGTCTGGAGTATATTGTTAGTAGATAGTTGTATGTGCTGCCATGTGGAGGGTTGGACTTGGGTTGGACTTAGTCGAGCTGAGTTAATGGAGTTTGGAGCACGTGGGCAAATGTGGTAGTGTGTCACGATGCGGCACTGTGGATCGCGACAGACTAGGAAAGAATGCGGATGGGTGTATGTAGGCATCGAAGCTTCGGCACGAAGTGCAAAGGCAGGGAGGTAGGCAGGTAGGTATATGTACATTGGTACAAATCCTATTCTGGTACTTGGTACCTTGGGGACCACATCCGAATCGGGCTCTCTCCTTCCGTCTCTTCTTCCCCTGACCAGAAACTGAAGCTCTCTAGGACCTTTTATCTCGTTGATAAGAACTTCAGACGTCGAGACCACCTGTTCGCATTCCTCCAGTCTACTCTAAACACACCCTTCCATAGTTCACTCACCCGCAGGAATCAAGACACTGCCAGCCCAACTTACTTGATGCTTGCAGTGCATGTTTCAGATCATGTGTAGCTCAGGGCAGGGTGGGAAGCAAAGCCTCATGGAAACACCTTTGACGATCTTGCCCTGCAAGCTCCAAAATATTATTAGGCTTGGCAGGGCTGGTTGGGGGGGTGCTCATGTATGTATTGAAGGTATTAGTGTAGTTGAGTCGTTGAGAAGGAGTGGATAGAAAGGAGGGCAACGGCGCGCTGCTGCAAAGCACCTCCCAATCTGCCATGCACCCTATATTTTCCTTCCCTCGTTGGCCGCTGGGGATGGTCGTTAAGTTTTAGGTTATGCGTGCTCCCCACCAACCTGCCAACTGTTCGCGCGACACCTGGCGGCGACTTGGGTCAGATAGAGTCCAGGTCCTAAGTCTCATGACACGTTGTCCTGCACCATGGCCGTCCGCGCAGTGCAGAGCTCTCACTCGTTTGCCATTCGTATCGCAGCTGAAGCACAAGCGAATGTATGTTCGGTGAGTATGGTAGGTCGAGCCCAGTTTCATCTTAATACGCCCCATTAAGCAGCATGGAGAGCCACACCACACCATCAGCATGCTGAAGGCACAGCACAATCACGCCCAACTTTGCTCGTCAATTGAGTTGCAACATGTGTTGGTGGTTTGTCGCTTACAACAACCATCCCAAAAGCTATGAACCTTCACATACTTACCTAGAGGTATCATTTTCGCATCTGGCATCCTCGTTGACGGAACCCCTCCCCTCCTCTCCGCTCCGCCGGGGATCACCTACAGCAAGACAAGGTAAATCCAGGGAAGAGCATATTGCGCTGGGTGACACCACGTACGGCAACGCTAGGTTCAGCTGCCGTGACATAGCCACCACTTCGCCCCTCCACATTCTCCGCATTTCCCAGCTTTTGCATATTCGAGCAATGAACCAGTTCATCTGAATAGATGGCGAGAACAACCAAACCTGGGATGGGAAGAGTGACCCCACAATCCTCTGGGGCTCAATGCCATAGCACGGACAATTTGTAGTAGGCACAGCATGCGGAGAATATAATGCTTACGTTGTTGTGGGACCACCTACCTCGGAGGCTTGAATACCAACTCCGCAAATACTGAATCTTGAAATTACAATGGGTAAAAATTTCGATGATGTGAACTGATTGTAACTTAGGTCGGGTTGATTCGCGGCAACTAGATTATCGATGGTGGAAAAGAGAAACAGAGCGATATTCGTATTTGTCGAAGAGTGATCGTCCATGAGCCGGCGCTATGGTGTTCTAGAAACAGGTTATTTGATGAAGGCCGCCGGAATAGTCTCAACCCTGACCTTCAGCGTATACGCGACTATATTATGGTGACGCAGTCAGTGAAGACATGATGGGGCGATATCGGCGGAGGCTCACACACAGACGCTTTGCCTGCGGACTTTGTCTCGAGGTTAGTGGCTTGCTGATGGCGTTGGCTTGCGTTGGATTTGCAAACGGCTTGCGCTTCTGCGTCTCTGAAGAGGAAAGGACTGTCGGTTAACACGAATGCGAACATCATATCGCGCTGCGATCGCATCACGCACGCGGCGCCAGCGTTGAGAATCTGTACTCGGCCAGAAGCAGAAGCGACTGACAGGATCTGCACTTGTACATTGTGGGGAAAGTGAGAATTAAGGTTGGGCGGCCAGGGGATATGGGTACCTCGTCTTTGACTGGGCGTTTGTACCTGCAAGTACACACCAGCACTAGCATTCTCTTCAGCGATTCGCCCGGAGCTGAAAATCAAGACGGTCAGGGGTGATATTTAAGGTAAGGGATGGTTCCCTGGTGACCAGTGGTGTGGATAGAGAACCGTTTTAAGGCACCTGTGCAGGATATTAGGCTAAAGAACGGATGATGGCTTGATCATTGATGTGGAGTTGCGTTAGCCACAGCAATATTTGAACTCTGCTAAGATCTTGCTTGACCGCCTCGACGTATTGGGCTGGCAGAACGCAATTCCAAATCCTTCAAGGAAGCGAAGATGAGAGGGCTATGAGGCAATGTGTCGTGTTGAGGCGTCTCTTTTGCAATCGCGGTGGGCCGTTCCGCTCGGAGAGGCTGCTTCCTTCGCATCCTTCTGCAGGCCAAAGGGATGAGCCCGCCACGGAGCGGATTTCTCCATCATGATGCCGCTTCCCTCACAGCATCATGATTCATAGCGCCCGAGTTGGAGTCTTCGATGACCAGGTACTTCGTGCTTGTAGTGGAACCATGGTCGTGGCAACAGGTCGTGTTACATTCACCAGCGCGGACCATGACCTCGTGAGGCATAAATTGATAGCTGTTGGGACGAGAGTTGTAAAATTTTACAATGAAAGGCTGCGCTCAGGGCAGTGCAAGGTCGTGGCTTGAGCTGCTATCGACTGGGGATCTGAGACATGGTCAACTGCTGGTGTATGATCAGGGTGCGATGTTCTGATATCGGAACGGCCGATTGTTGCCTCTGCTCCGAGTAAGGCGTCCTTTTTGATCTCGAAGGAGTCGAAGCCTGGTTACGAATAAGCGGGTATGCATACGCATGTGAGATTCGGGCGACACAGAAAGCATTCTCGTCGGTCGTGATCGCTGTTCTGCAGGTCGCCTGCAGTACGCTGCACTCTTTCCAGCTATCTGGACAGGTTGTCCGGAGCCCGCTAATGCGTGCAGATGCACAGCTCTTCGTGTGAGGAATTGACATTTCATTCAGGAGATATATTTGGGCCAATCAGATCCAACATCCCAGGTAATTGTGGTGAATAAAGACTGAAGGGCTCCGAAAAGAGTCTCGGGGATCTGCTCGTTTCGAGCAGTAACCTCCGAACATCTCGCGTGATGCTGCTCCGCTCCACTTCCCATTGCAGATGAATCATATCTGATCTTGAGATCGGAAAACGTCGAACTGTTCAATTTCTGTAATAGTCACCAGAAAGCTGAATGATCCTAGGAAAGAAATGATCCTAGGAAGGAAATGATCCTGGAAAGAGGCCAATTTGGGAAGATTAAAGAGGAGGGTTGTAGTAATGGTAAGAGATTCTGGAATTCTATGGCGCTTATGCACCCAAGTCTAGGCATTATTAAGAATAGGTATATTTTGGTTGCTCCTCCCGCTTCCCGCTTTCCAGAGCCGTTCGTCTGTTCGTTCGTGATGGAGCTTCTATAGGCAGGCTTCGCCCCTGTTAGTTTTCGATTGGATGTGGCCACAACTCTAGTCGTTCGTCACAAAGTCCGTTCGTGTGATTTGACAGCAAACCTGTCGTAGTCGCTATAGTCGCTAGGCCGAAGCAATATTAAACAATGACGACTTCCGTGAAACGAATAGTGCAATGGCGAAGGTGAGAACGCGTCGACCCTGTCGACGAGTCAGGCGGCTCTCACCAAGCCGATCGCATAACGCAAAAATTAACGACCGATGGAGATGGCATATTGCGAGGATAGTCCTTAACAAAACCGCAATAAGGGCTCAGGATCTGGGAGTACCGGGCCTGTCGTCCATAGGAAAATCAGACGTTCGAGAAGCTTTCCGCTTCATGCCATCCGTACAGTTGGGGCTGATTCATTTATGAGATTGAGTTGTTAAGCATAACCCCACAACATGAGAAATATTGGTCGTGCTTTAAATTGTGGGGGATGCGAGGAGAAACACCAGATTTTTCGGCAACGGTTTTCCGTCTTGCCAAGTAAAATGCTTCATGGCAACTATGCGCCGACTCTGACGGAATGATTATGCGAATTTGATCGGGGAGTCCAGGGCACACTTTAGGAAAGAGGTCGCTAGGCTTTTGTGTGAGGTAGGTGGCCGTGAAGAAATGTTAGTTCGGAGTGTTAAGGGGATACCGGCGCCACGATCTGGAAGATCACCGTTGCACTAAATCAAGGCGACGCTGATGACGCAAAATTCCTCATCGGGACCCTGTTCGGAGATCAATTCTCTCAGAAATTTGCTGGCACTTCCCAATGCAGTCGACCGGAAAAGCCAAGCAGAGAATGGAGAGTGTACACTGCGGAGAAATACCTGGGGCATTATTGCCATGTCGACATGCACGGCATGCGAAAGGTCACGCTTCCCCAGGTGTGCCGACGCCGCATTGATCCACGACCACTCTCTGCGCTCTTTTAGAGCTTGTTTCCTAGTAATAATGCTCCGCGATACGAATTGCCTCACCGATTCGGCCCGGCTACTGGAAATCGCTTCGAGGTCCGAAATCATGGGGGTATATGTGCGGTCGATAATTATTTCGCATGCCGTGCGTCTATAGAATTGGCCTTAAGAGAGCGTACTCGAAGACGACATGCCGCCAACGTTGGTGGCGGTCAGCCACTCTCGCCGTTCGGCGAACAAGATGCAAGTATTGTCCAATTTTGTTGGGAAATTAGATAGATGTGGCCAAATCCGGACAAAGGTCGTACGATGGTGCTATACGAGTAGGGAAGAAGAATCTTACCCACTACCTACCGTTCTCGACGGCGACAAGGTTCCACCATGGAAAAGTGGATGATTGACGTCTGCCTCTGGGGGTACAACAGGATAGCGCCTACTATAAAGCACAAACGGATAAATTTGGTCGCTGAAATCTCTTACTGGTCTGGTAGAGACGTCCAGAGGACTGGAACTTCTGTCCCAAATCAATCCTACCATGATACGTTGGTAGGTGACAACATGAGGCCAAACTAGCATCTGAGGTCAGCCGTGCTGAAACTGTTAGTGTTAATAGTTCATGATTGTCGCACAGAAACTGTCAGACACTTAACTCAAAGCGATAGCATTTGCTCGGGAAGCAGGCATTGAGGAATGGAGGTCCGGTAGCTTTTAGAGTATACCGCCATCATCTTACTGGACTGACGAGAATTATTGAAGCTGGAGAGCTGCGTAGACACCATGATTAGAGGAAGCCTAGGATCGGTTTCTTCGGTATCCTCGGCCATGTTAGCATAGTCCATAGGAGCAGGGTGAAAAGTTGGAGGGCCTCAATAACGGAAGCTTTCGATACGATCTTCCCTATTAACAGCAGCATTTTGTAACACAAAAGTAATCTGGTATGGGACTCTTCAGGTCGTTTGGACATGCTCACGATAGGTCGTCTTGTAAAACTCACACCATGTTCTCACGATAGCTGGTATTGGAAGGAGAAAGCGTCGCCGCTTGACGCTTGTGGATATCGTGAGTCCATCTGCCTGCTATGAGAGATTATGATTCCATTTTATAATTGGGAAACACTTATCGGGATAAATTGCTAACGTTGTATCTTTGCCAGATTCTCTTCTAATCTGCGATAATCCGAACGTGAACTACAGTTCCCTAGAACTAGGAATTCCCTTCGTGTAAATACCCGCTAAGTATTGTCATAAAGGGTTAGGAAATATCTTATGCGCCGATAGACGAGAGCAAGAGATAGTATATAAAGTTTGTTTCTCGTGCTGGGCGTCTCGCAGCTGCTTCAGCCGATGGTTCTTCCAGAGCGTACTACCGACAAACTCACATGTTGCAAAGAGGAACCAGCTATCGGATCGAATCTCAATTTCTGCGTAGCGATAGCCTTCCCTATGGCGTAGGTCAGCAGGCCGGCAAGCAACTTCAATATTTCGTGGTTGCGTCAGGCGGACTAAACGAAGAGTGAAAACTAGCAACCATAGCCTCTTTCGCTGTCATATGAGGGGACGGAAATTCATTAAATGGCAACCTATTTTTGGACACACTGGCCGCAATATCGACATAGTGATGCCGGGTCGTCTAAGGCAAAGGGATCAATAGTGAGACTCGGGTGCGCGTTCGAACAAGTCGACAAAATTTCTTTGCATCGGCCTTCCTTCCCAGGTTCGTTCACTTCCTTGGTTCTCTTCCTAACACCCGTCTAGAGGTCTGATTTCTGTACTTGTTCCGTATGTGGCACATGGCTTGTAGCTTCTATTGCTTGGTCTCAACTCTGGCTCCCACCTCTCTCCCCTACCCCTTGTTGATGCAATTCTTGATATAAGAGCTGGTCTCCTTGAACTCCTATCACACAGCAGTTTGCGAAAATAATCTATATCTTTATCCCCAAAGCGAAGTCCTTGTAATTCAAGAGTGTGACACGTATGTGCCATGATCTTCTTTCGTGGATTTCGGACTCGGATTTAAGGATTCACACAGCCTCAATTCTTTGTAAGTGGATTATCTTGCCATCCAGATACTTGTCTCAAGTTACCGTGGGAAGTTCAACATCGAATTCGTTTTCAGTCTTCCGTATATCAATCCAACCTACGAACGTTGCTCAGGGCACATTGATAGCCCAAAGGTTGTCTCGTGCGACTGGTATCTTCATCCGGCGGATCTCCCAGAGCGCGCGCCGATTACCAACTATCTAATTCCAAGGAATCCAGGGGAGTTGATGTGTTCTGTTCGCTTGCTTTTCCGGTTATCAGCCTTATGGAGACCTATGGTTAAGAAGGGAGGTTACTTGACAGGTTGTAGGTCTACCGAACAATGTTCTTGTTTACCAAACGCTCAAGGCCTGGACGTTGTGAATTGTACGGATGAAGACTACTACAACCCCAAATATATTGAAGAAGGTAGTGTACGTGGCCAAAAGGATAGTTACACTATTGCTAATCAATACCAATAGCAGTGATTATACGTGATAGAGCGTACTGGGACTCGAATCGTTCGAAAGAGCTTGGAATCTTGGAGGTTGAGCCTAGGGATAACACGACCTTTCATTAGCCGAGGGAAGGTCACCGGAGGGGTGTTCTAAAGCACTATTTGTTCCACGAAGTGAATGTTGGATCAGAAGAGGGACCCTTGATTTGGAATACGTCAGAAATTTCTCGTTTGCGGCGAGAAACTACTCAACTGATAATCGCGGGGAAGCTGGCCTCGGTTTCGTAGGCTTCACCCGCCAAATAAGCGTCTGGAGTGATCCCGTTTCCGAATGTGGAGAGAAGGATCCCGGGGATGAGATGTGCTAACGAGCTTTGACGGTATTACCAAGTTAATAGGAGACTAGCAGGACACTCAGACCGCCATTCTCCTAGAAGCTGAAGATGCTTCCGCGTCTCTATCGTGCTCGTCGGGACACGTTTCGGAATCCATGGATTGCTCTGGTAGACTGCTTCAGGAACTCTCGGAAGCATCTCCTTCTGCTAACGACATCGCCAGCGGTGAGGAAACCACGTCGTATCAAGGCATAAAGCTGGTTGGGCAAGGCTCGAAATTTTGTCGTGGCGGCTAGGCAAGTAGACTTCAGAAAGGGCGATCAGACGCCACGACGCCCTGATACAAGAAGTAACTCCTGAATTGTTCTTTCCTTATGATGAATGGGAATATAAGACGTATAAGGCTGCTGTCGCCCTCAATGCCTCGGATGCTGAGCTCGTACAAGATCATGTCACGTTGATTTTCCACGAATCAGAGCCTAAGATCGACAGGCCATCCACTCCCCTGGAAAGATCTAAATATCAAAGTGGCTTCACAGACAGCTGAGAAGCAAAGCATACCAGGAATCCCTAGTCATCACGCAAGTGGAGAGGGAATACACTGTATTTGACTTTGGTAGATAACGTGTTTCCGAAGCGAGTCGGCCACTCTAGATTATCTTATTAATTAACGTACATCACAGGCGAGTTGCTCACACACCTAAGTTGCTTACTTTTGCTAAGACCCTACTAAACTACTTTTTTTACACTAATGCATTCCTAACAACACTACTTAGACGTGCTAAAAGAACATTAAATATAGCTTACACTATAGGCTTTTAAATAAGACGCAACACTCTTAAAGTAACATGCTACAGCTATGTATAAAGTCTTTTAAAAGATAATAAATAACTAACACACTAGATAACTTTTATAAGCTAATTCTATAGCTAACTTATAAAGGCTAGGTAATAATAAAAAGCAGGTAATTATTAAGCACATACTTAAGCTGTAAGGCTAGATGTCCTAGAACAGGCTAGTATAGCCTCACCTAACCTGTTTAGAGGTCACATGACCTGTGCTTTGTATATAAGCATGAATCCTAACAAGTGAGGCTTGGCAGCAATTTGTCTCTCTTACAATACACTTCTATCTTTCTCTAAAACCTTGCTCTTAGTGCTATCTGTGCTACCTACTATCCTATCTTTACATAAGCTATATGTGTAAGGATTTTCCCTTTAGCTAGCAGCTGTAGCTAATATAGCTAATTCTTTACGCGCTAAGCATAATCTAGGCTATGTTAGCATAAACTAGCCTAGTATGTTTATAAAGTGTTATCTAGAGCTTAAAGTAAAGTTTTAAGCGTAAGTATAGTTAGTAAATATCTAACCTATTATAAAGCCTGTTTTGTTAAAGTTGTGTCAGATTGAAGCACTGTTTCTAGGCTTCCTGAGATGAATGATGGGTTTGGATATGATGTATGGGATGATCATTCATTGTATTGATTTATCGATCCTTTTTCTACTCTACTTGTGTTGCTCGGCCTTTTGTTTTGCCGATCCGAGTCCCTCGCGCACTTGCCCTATGCGCGACCAGCTTGCAATATGCTGCAGTTTGCTGCAAAATGCTGCAATTTGCTGCAACATGCAGCAATTTGCAGCAACATACTGTTCGAGCTTATTGCTCGTACTATGTAGCAGCTTTCGTCAAGCGTTCCTCCTGTCTTGACAGTAGGTGCGCATATCTGACAAGTTGTATGTTTTGTTATTCTAGATACTATACTTAGCTTTAATATTCTCTATAAGGCTAAACTAGCTCTAAATTACTCTAGAATCTTTATAAAAAGCTTTTTTATAGTTATACTTGTGCTTAAACTTTACTTTAAGCTCTAGATAACACTTTATAAACATACTAGGCTAGTTTATGCTAACATAGACTAGACTATGCTTAGCGTGTAAAGAATTAGCTATATTAGCTACAGCTGCTAGCTAAAGGGAAAATCCTTACACATATAGCTTATATAAAGATAGGATAGTAGGTAGCACAGATAGCACTAAGAGCAAGGTTTTAGAGACAGATAGAAGTGTATTGTAAGAGAGACAAATTGCTGCCAAGCCTCGCTGTTACAATCCTTGCTTCAGAGAAGCACTCGGGCTAATATTGTTCCTAGTGGGTAGGACAGGAGGTAGGGGCCGACGGTAGAGTGTACAGTCCTACGTAATGGCTAATAGGCTAATAGTGACTTAGAAGAGTGGCTAGATTATAGTTTGTCCCTATAGCGGCAGTATAGAGGCTAGGTTAAACAGTCCTGTTAGATAGAATTAGAGGTATATATGTTGTAAGATATATAAGTAGTATTATAGCTTATTAAAAAGCTAAATGCTACTTAGTCTATGTAAAAAATAAACTAAACATTAAACACACCTTTTTAAAAGCTATTTAAGGTTAAAACTATATATATAGGTAGTAGTGCTAAGAACAAGTTAAGTAAGCTTATTAAGTTTCCTATGTAGTAGACTTACTTAACTTATTAAACTTATTTAACTTACAGCCTACTTATTAAATAATACACTCTTCTATTACTATAAGTAGCTATACTGCCTCTGCATCTTCTAATTAGTCTGTAAACAAGCCCTGCTCTAACTTAGCTAGATTATAGAGTACTTTAAGTAAAGTTATGTTAGTCTAACTATAGACTATAACACGCTGCCTCCCCTTTCTAGCAGTGTCCTTGCCGCTCTGCTTACACAACTGCGTTAGTAAATGTTTATTTATAAGGTAAGCGTCTACCTACTAAAAGGCGTCTATAATATCTATTCTTTTTATGCTAAATAGCTTACTATTTTTGTTTATCTTATTATTTTTATTCTACTTTTTATTTTAATCCTCTTTACTAGACAAAGATAAGGCCTTGTAACACTTACTAGTTATTAGAGTTATTATGCGTGCTAACTCTGTCCTTAGACAGGTGCGTAAAATGCGTAAAAAAGAATAATTAGTGTAATGCTTTTATCTCTAACACTGCATAAAACTAGTTAGAGAAGAAGAGAGAGAAACTCTTATAGTCTACTAAGGTTTTAAAGGTCTAGAATTAAAAGCTTTCTAAAAAGTAGTTAAAATAAATTTATAAGTAAATCTATTTATTATAAAAGATAGTAGAGGTAAGAGAAAGATAGCGTTCTAAACAGGATTATATCTAAAAATTACTAGATCTGCTAAAATCTTGTTATGTAAAATACTTAAAAAAGGACTTCTTTTCCTTAGATAAAATAAAAGCTTTTCAGGCTAAAGTAAAAAGTTATTTACCTTTTTAGCCTTTATTACTAGGGCCTTATTTCTAAAGGCTGCTGCTATTTAGTAATAACATAGCTGTTTCTTTTAAAATAGATGCCTTATTGCCTAGCTAGTTTCTCTTAGAAGAGTTGTCAGATATGCGCACCTACTGTCAAGACAGGAGGAACGCTTGACGAAAGCTGCTACATAGTACGAGCAATAAGCTCGAACAGTATGTTGCTGCAAATTGCTGCATGTTGCAGCAAATTGCAGCATTTTGCAGCTGGTTGTAAGGACGGGGCTCCGCACCACTCCGCCAATACAACCAAAAGGTACGAATAATCAACCAACGTTGATTTTCGGGTGCAGAATAGTATATATACCTGTCGCACGTAAGCGCCATCTCGGCCTTACACTGGTCGCGCATAGGGCAAGTGCGCGAGGGACTCGGATCGGCAAAACAAAAGGCCGAGCAACACGAGTAGAGCAGAAAAAGGATCGATAAATCAACACAATCAATCATCATCCCATACATCATATCTAAACCCATCATTCATCTCAGGAAGCCTAGAAACAGTGCTTCAATCTAACAAGAGTCTAGAGGTACTTCTGCACTAACTATTATACATTTTATAGGTTCTTAGCTAGTTCTTAGGTGTTTTTACTAGTAAAAAATTATTTTTTTAATTACTAATAATTTATTTTACTTCATACTTTATCTCTGTTTCTTTTTCTTTTTATGTAGATAAAGAAATTTCCTTAAGTGCTTTTTCTAACTTAGAGATATAGAACTATAAGTGTATTTTTATATGTAAGAGAAGCTTTAGCTTACAGTTATCTTATTAAGTTTATAAAACTTTATAGAGTTTTATTCTTTTTTTTACTAGCTTCTTAGAGGGCCTAGGTATCTTAAGGTTCTTTGTTTTAAAGTATACATAGTCTCTAGGGTAGATCTTTAGTCTAGGTTACTATGTTTTATTTACATATTTTTCTATTATTATTTTTAGCTAGATTTAGCTTTAATTACTAACTTCTTATATATACTTTATAAGCTTAATAGTTAGTTAACTAATTTTAGTAAGTCTATAAGCTAATTTCTGTGTAGCGTAAAATAGAGGTTATAACTAAAATTAGCTTTATATAGTGTTTTTTTATTATAGCTAATTCTACTATGTTAATAGCTAGTTATGCTATTAAGAGCTATTCTACCTAGTTACTTTAACGATAGAAAATATTTTTTTAGATATTTTTTTACTTTAGTGTTTACTTATTTAGTCTAACTGTCTATTTATAGGTAATATACTATAGATAGCTTGTGCGTTATACTAAAGTGTTTTATAGCTGCTTTCTAAAACTTACTAGTAAATAGCTTATTTTTATTAAAGATAATAATTTTTAGGCATTTATACACTAACACTATATTCTGTTTAAGTTTGTATATAAATTTCTTAGCTATAATAGTTTTCTCTAATAGCTATATGTGTAGATACTTTATAGTCTTATTAAAAGCTACTATTATTATATTACATATCTATTTTTAGTTTCTTTAATAGGGGAAGTCTTATTATAAAGTTTATAGTAACTATTATCTATAGCTACTTTAAAGCTTTAATTAGTTAAAGGTATTTATATATTTTATGCCTTTAAAGATTATTTTTATTACATATGTTATACTTTTTAAGTACCTCTATGCATAGTTAATTTATCTTAGGTATATGTTAAAAAATAGCGCTTCTAAGCTTCTTCTAAAAGGTGCTAATTCCTAGGTGTCTAAACATAAGAGATTTATAGTATTTACAAATTAGGTTCTTTTATCCTTATTTAATTACTATAAGTGCATATAATTCTTTTATAGGCCTAGGCCTATTATATACTAGTCTTATTTATTTTTTTAAAGTAATTAAGTCTCTAGCTAAGAGTTTTAGTGTAAAGATGGGATGGTAAGTAGCACGGATAGCACTGAGAGCAAGCTTTCGGAGAAAGATAGGAGTGTATTGTAAGAGAGACGAATCGCTGCCAAGCTTCGCTTGTCAGGATTCATGCTTATATACGAAGCACAGGTCATACGACCTCCAAACAGGTCAGGTGAGGCCATACTGGCCCGTTCTGGGACATCCGGCCTTACATTTAGCCTACTAGTTTTATGTTTTTAGAATGTACTTAATAACACAGTTAAACTAGGCAAGCTTTATTGCCTACTATATGTGCATTAGTAATAGTTTTTTTATTGTTAAGAACATAACTAAGTTTACATAGTCTATTATAATATTAAAGCGTCTTTCTATTCTATGTAGCTCTGTTGCCTAGACTTATACTACATTTAGTATTACTTTTAACTTTTTATTAGGTATGCTATAGTCTACTTTAGCTTC